TTTATTATACTCAATCGATAGAAGAAAAAGAGTTCTAATGAAATAGTTATGAGTTTAGTCGACTGGAACAATGGAATTGGCTGAAAATAGGACTCAAAATGGGAGAAATTGCCAATGCATAAATATCGCCAAGACCACTGACTTCACAAAAGCGTAATTCTGTAACTTTTCCATCATATTTCATACTTTTGGTATCATTACCATCAGAAAAAAGATTCTCTATCATTTCATAAGAAAAAATATTTTTTTTAAATTCTTCGACACTGAGAGGAAGTTTGTGAGCAGGGGTCTCGACAATGAAAGGTTTAGGTATAAGGGCATGCACCTTACAGCATTATACCCAAACACCTGTGATGACAGCTGACTTCCACAGCTCAAGTTCAGTTCTTCTATAAATTACAGTAAACAAATGTGCTGTCTCTATTTGATCAAGGTTGTTCTCAATTGCTTTTCATAAGACGAACAGTGTTGCAGAAACTGAATAAACAGCCCTATTCCAAAATACAGCTCAGCTGGTTTTTTCCAATATTCTGGTAAACAGACTTATGACCTAGCCAAATTCACTGTTGGTCTATGAAATAGGAAAAAGACAGCGGAAGCTGTGGTAGTAGATGTTTTGCCTACATCATTGCACTGAAAGCAGCCAAGGTCAAACTGGCTTGTCCAGACATGCAGACGAACACTGTCAGCCCAATTCATCTGTTCATTGGAAGTGATTATTATCACTGTTTTGTTCAAAATATAGTAAATAAACAAAATTGTGCGGGAACCCTGCTAGCTAAGTTTACTTTCCAACATAATAATATTACATGACAAGTAGGGAACTTAGCTTTTATTGATAGCTCAGACTTCTTGCGGCCGCAGTTCAAGAAGTCTCCTTTGACTGAGTTTAAGGTCTCCCTCACATGAGCTGTAATTGATTAATTTTACACCAAATGAGTGTGTATGTCTAGGTAGTAGGTTGGTAGACAGCAACTGCCCAGGGAGGTACTACTGTCCTGCTAAGTGAATGTGAAACGAAAGCCTGTAATTGTTGTACATGATGGTAGGATTGCTGGTGTCCCTTTTTCTGTCTCATAAACATGCAAGATTTCAGGTATGTCTTGCTACTTCTACTTACACTCAGGTCACACTACACATACATGTACAAGCATATATATACACACCCCTCTGGGTTTTCTTCTATTTTCTTTATAGTTCTTGTTCTTGTTTATTTTCTCTTATCTCCATGGGGAAGTGGAACTGAATTCTTCCTCCATAAGCCATGCATGTCGTAAGAGGCGATTAAAATGCCGGGAGCAAGGGGCTAGTAACCCCTTCTCCTGTATACATTATGTACTAAATTTAAAAGGAGAAACTTTTGTTTTTCCTTTTGGGCCACCCCACCTCGGTGGGATATGGCTGGTGTGTTGAAAGAAAGAAAGAGTGTGTATGTCAAGTATTACACATTTGTTTGAAATGTTATAAGTTATGGTTGTTGGGCATATCGCCCTTTGGTTACAACCTAGAATAGGTCAGCCCTAATCACCTTTTGTCAACCTAACGAGAGCTTGTGATGTTGGCTGCACCACTTATTTATTTATTTATTTATTTAATGTCTTTGCAAACAGTACATTGAGATTGTGTATATACAATAGTGGGTTGCAACACAAAGAGAGCCTCTGTTATGCCTAGGCATTATGGGCCAACTTAACATTATTGACTTACAGTCTACTTAATACTAAGGAGTAGTATATCATAGTAGGAAAGTAATTATTTCATAGTTGTACAGTAGAATATTGATTATAAATGAATCAAAATTTGTATTATACAAAGATATACGTATTTATATTCTAAAATGCTTTTGTGAAAAACAATGATTGAATTATATTAGGCTGAGAATAATGACTTGAGTAGGCTGCTATCCAGATATGTCGCATTAATGTCCTATCACTCACAACGCATTGGTACAGTCATTTTCACTATCGCCATTCGTTGTCCACGGTAGGAAGAAATTTCACCCAGTGTTCGATTACACCTGAGTGCACAGTGCAGAACATGTTAAGCACACTTTATCGTGGTTTTACCATGGATTGTCACTCTTATTTGCACTAGTTTAACTTCCTATTGGAGATTGTCAGTATTTCAGAGTCTACAGTCACATTTCACTGCTGTCTTTGTTCTCAGTGGGAGATACCAGATACATTCATGCTTCGATTACTTAAAGCAGTCTGACTTTCTGATCTCACAAAGGAAATGCTGATGTCAGCTTTATGGACATTCATTGCTAGCTTTGCAAGAGAACTTAACCTAGAATGATGGTTTCTTGGAATTCTAAGCGGGTTTGAGGAACTTTAATACTCCTAGCTTGTAGATCAAGTGGGGCACAGGCTTTCACATATTTTTCCTGCTATGGGAAAAGCATTTGTCCCAGACTTAACCTCATATATGCAACAAGCCAGCAAGTCTGGTAACGAGAGAGATGCCTGGTGATGCCTCGCAAGACATGTGGTTTAGTAACATGTTGCAGGATGGAGAAAGCAAGGTGGTACACAAATCCCTCTGAGAGGGGTAGCCCTCTCTGTAGAGGGTCATTAACCTCCCTTCAAGACAGGGTAATATCACTCCCTTCAAAACTGGAGATTTATATCCACATTGGGGGGGCAGCATCTTAGTTCACCATAGGTGAACTACAGGAAGGCCCCGCTTTACGGCGTTTCACTTTACGGCGTTCCGCTAATACGGACATTTCAAATTATGACCAAAACTCACTATACGGCTCCCCCCACCTGACTTTCTAATACGGTCACCGTGCCCCACCCTGTTTGTTTACATTCTCCATGAGCTCAGTAAGCACTAAGTCTCTCCATTTTGTCTGGAAACTCCAAAATTTCAAATGTTTTTAAAAGTTATTTCATATTTTATATATACTCTGATAATTATACTTATGTATACCTGTACCTAAATAAACTTACATACATCGAGTCATTTAAATGTCGTATATTACGTTAATATACACATTTTCATTAATCCATCCATGATATTTTTTTCAAAATTATATAATAAACACGATGCATAACATATAAATAAGATAAATACACCCCACAGTAGAATAAATAAACATAAATGTGAGATGTGAGCAGACGACTTCCACAAGTGACGCCATAATAACAATAGTCACCGAGTCTCATTAAATGTCGTATATTACGGTAATATACACATTTTCATTAATCCATCCATGATATTTTTTTCAAAATTATATAATAAACACGATGCATAACATATAAATAAGATAAATACACCCCACAGTAGAATAAATAAACATAAATGTGAGATGTGAGCAGACGACTTCCACAAGTGACGCCATAATAACAATAGTCACCGAGTCTCATTAAATGTCGTATATTACGGTAATATACACATTTTCATTAATCCATCCATGATATTTTTTTCAAAATTATATAATAAACACGATGCATAACATATAAATAAGATAAATACACCCCACAGTAGAATAAATAAACATAAATGTGAGCTGTGGTAGCAGACGACTTCCACAAGTGGTGATAATAACAATAGTCACCGAGTCTCATTAAATGTCGTATATTACGGTAATATACACATTTTCATTAATCCATCCATGATATTTTTTTCAAAATTATATAATAAACACGATGCATAACATATAAATAAGATAAATACACCCCACAGTAGAATAAATAAACATAAATGTGAGCTGTGGTAGCAGACGACTTCCACAAGTGGTGATAATAACAATAGTCACCGAGTCTCATTAAATGTCGTATATTGCGGTAATATACACATTTTCATTAATCCATCCATGATATTTTTTTCAAAATTATATAATAAACACGATACATAACATAAAAACATGATAAATACACCCCACAATAGAATAAATAAACATAAATATAAGATGTGGGAGCCTGGTTTGTTTACATAACTCTGCGCCTGTTACCTCTCATGTACTCATTCTTTCTCTCTCTCATTTATTCGTTTTATCTCATTTACTTACTCCTGACCCTACATTAAGACTACAAATATTTTAAGGTAAGTAATGAGTGAACTGTATATACATTTTATCGCTCTGGGATGCTTAAATATCATAGAATAGTATGTGTGGGTGGGGTGGCCTGGTGAGGTAGCCTGGCTATTACAATACATACCACACTTGATTTCTTACAATAAATACTACTTGTCTCACCCTAGATTAAGACTATAAATATTTTAAGGTAAGTAATGAGTGCACTATGTGTGTATTGTACTTTTTTATTGTTTTTTGATGCCTGGTTCTATTGCTAACATAATATATGTTAGTGTAAACTTGTTATCTAGTGTTTGTATGCATTTGTAAGTGGAAAAAAAGGGTGTTCCACTTTACGGCGGTTTCCGCTTTACGGCGGTAGCCTGGAACCTAACCCGCCATATAAGTGGGGCCTTCCTGTATTCCTCTCTTAACATCATTCTGATTTTCTCACTGGCCACCATGGCTGATTGTCTTATCTTAACAACTTTAGTCTGTGGACTTTCTTGAGAATCAGTAAGTTTGCTTTCAACACTGTTTAAGTGTAACAGCACTAGTTTATCTACCGTCTGCTTGTCCACTACATCTTTGCTCAAAACTTCAACTGTCTTGATAGTTCCATTTGCATCAGGATGTTTGGTCACTATTTTTCCTAGAGGCCATTGAGACCTTGAGCCATAATTGTCAATAATCTCTGTTACCAGGTTTCAAGGACATACGATTTTTAAGGAACTGCATCTCAATAAAGTGATTGAACACTGGGAGAAAAGTTGGGGAGAAGACTATCTCCCCTCACTGAGACAAAACACTTCTATGGAGCTAGAGTTCCTGAAAATCATATGTCCTTGAAACCTGGTGACATAGTGATAATTGACAATGATTGCCCAAGGTCTCAATGACCTCTAGGAAAAATAATGACCATACATCCTGATGCAAATGGAACCATCAGGACAGTTAAATTTTATGCAAAGGTATAATGAACAAGCGGATGATAGATAAACTATTACCAAACGAACTTAGTGATTCTCATGAAACTCCACAGACTAAAGTTGCTAAGAAAAGACAATCAGCCTTGGTGACCAGTGAGAAACGCCGCTCCCCCAGTGTGGATAAAAATCTCCAGTTTTGAAGGGTACAATATTCCCCCTCCCTCTTGAAGGCAGGGTAATGATCCTCTCCAGAGAGGGCTACCCCCTCTCAGAGGGACTTGTGTACCATCTTGCTTTCTCCCTCCCACAACAGCATTATTAACCCTTTCAGGGTTGGTGCCGTACTAGTACAGCTTGCACGCCAGGGTTGGTGCCATACTAGTACGCATAAATTCTAGCGCCTTCAAATCTAGCGAGAGAAAGCTGGTAGGCTTACATATGACAGAATGGGTCTATGTGGTCAGTGTGCACAGTATAAAAAAAATCCTGCAGCACACAGTAAATAATGAGAAAAAAAAACTCTGACTGTGTTTTTGGTTTAAAACAGCGACTTTGCAGTGTATTTTTGTATGCTATTTATGGTTGTATTCTAGCTTTTTTGGTCTCATTTTATAGAATGGAAGAAATATTACAGAAATGGAGATGATTTTGTTTGGTTTCAGAATGAAAAGTACCTTGAAATTGAGCTCAAAGTAGCAGAAATGTTCGATTTTTGCCGAAGTTCAAAAGTAAACAAAACATGCCATGCGTCCAATACACATCAACTGGTGAGTCTAATATTCATTTATAAGTGCGCTGATATTATTTATACCATTTCTACACTAATGCAGTACTCTGCATAACAGTAAATCTTTTATTTTTTGTGAGAATAAAAATTCAAAGTGGAAAGCAAAAGAAATGTAACAGAGGCCTTGGGACATGACTAATGAACAGAGGAAATGTTATTTTAGTGCCAGGAATGTCTGTCTTGTTTATTTTGGATCCTATTTGGAAATTGGCATCTTTTGAAATTTGTGTGAAATTGGCAAAATTGCCAATTTCTGGCCACTTTATTGGATAGTTGAAATCAGTAAATGGGTGGCTTCTTGTACTCATTTGCTAGAAAAAATGGAGTTCTACCGAAATAGTTATGATTTGTGTCTATTGGTGCATTGGAATTGGCCAAAAATAGGGCTCAAAGTGGGCAAAATCGCCGATGCGTAAACATTGTTGAGACCAATAACTTCGCAAGAGCATAATTCCGTAAGTTTTCCATCAAATTTCATACTTTTGGTGTCATTATGATTGGGAAAAGATTCATTCCGTAAGAAAAAATAATTATCTTCTTTTTTTCGAAAAATTTCCGACCCTGAGAACAAGTTTCTGAGAGGGCCTGTCGACCCTGAAAGGGTTAAAACCGCATGTCAAGCAAGGCATCACCAGTCATGTCTCTCTTCACCAGACTTGCTGACCTGTTGCAAATACGAGGCTAAGTCTGTTTCAATTGCTCTTTTCCCATAAAAGGAAAAATATGTGAACACTGACTATGGAACTGAACTTCTCCAGGCCGAGGGACTGACAACCTCAAATTCTACGACTTCAAGGGTGATGGACTGATTACATCGTCTTCACATCTCTACTGTTCCTGCCTACTTTCTGTATTCGACTGAAGAAGCCTACTGTGTAGGCGAAACGTTTCGGAATAAAGTTGCCTAGCTGTTGCCTATGTGTCTTACCTACCAACCTGTCGGTATTGTATACCATTTTGATGTTCACCTCACTTGATCTACAAGATAGGAGTATTAAGGTTCCTCGAACCCACGTAGAATTCCAAGAAACTGTGATTTTAGGTTAAGTTCTGTTTCAAAGCTAGCAATGAATGTCTATAAAACTGAAGTCAACATTTCCTTTGTGGGATGAGGAACTAGGGTGCTCTGCAGCACCCGAGAAGTCAGATTGCTTTAAGTACTCTTAGTGTGAATGTGTCTGGTACCTCCCACTGAGAACAAAGACATAAGTGAAGTGCAATCGTAGACTCTGGAATACTAACAGCACTCACTAGGAAGTTAAACTAGTGTAAATAAGACTGAAAATCTGTGATAAAATCATGATAAAGTGTATTTAACGTGTTCCGCAGTGTGCACTCAAGCGTAATCGAATATTGGGTGAAATTTCTTCATACTGTACACAATGAGTGGTGGTAGTGCTGCGAGTGATAGAACATTAATGCGATGTATCTGAATAGCCTATTCAAGACAGGTACATCCTATTCTCACTTGCATCGCACTGCAGTCTATAGGTTGACACAAGGTGATTAGGGCTGACCTATTCTGGGTCGTAACCTATGGGCGATACGCCCAACAACTGTGAGTAGCTTATCACATTTCAAGTAGATGGGAAATATTTGACATATACACTCCTCTGAATAAAATTAATCAAGTTACTCATCATTCTACAGCTCATGTGAGGGAGGCCTTCGGCTCAATTGAAGGAGACTTCTTGAACCACGGCTGCAAGAAGTCTGAGTTGTCAATTAACGCTAAATGGCCTTCTTGTTTTTGTGTGTTATCATTATTATTATTATTATTATTGTTATTATTATTATTATTTTTGTCAGAAAGTGATCTTAGCAAGCAAGTTTTCCTCACACTTCCCTTCTGTCTCATGGAACCCATGAATAATAAGTGTCCTCTCCCTTTCCTCGTCCCATTTTGTTTCCCTCTGTATCTCTGGGTTCAATTTAAGCATCTCCTTGGTTGTCTTCCTTATCTTCCAGACGTCCCTGTGGCCTAGTATCATTTTCTCAAGGGATTTCTTTGCTCTTTCCCCTCCTTCAATTCTTGTCTGCTGTTGTTCCTTCACCCAGCTCCTTGTTTTTATCAGTCCTCACCTCAATATTCCACTTCAGCACTTCCAGTTCCTCCACCAGTCTCTGCAGAAAGAGCTGTTGACTACCACTTCTTGGTTTCTGTAGATTTCTTGACCAGTATGTTGCAAAACTCACTCCTGTTCCATTGTGCTTTTGTTGCCAATGCTTCTTGTTTAGCCCAGCTATCCTCAGTACCCTTGCTTCTTCATCCTGCCATGTGTGTGTGTCTGGGGTGTTAGTGTGAGTGGGAGAGGTGTTAGTGTGTGTGTGTGTGTGTGTGTGTGTGTGTTTGGGGGTCTTAGCATTTGTGTGGGGGTGGTAGTGGTGTGTGGGGGCCTTAGCATTTGTGTGGGGTGGTTTTAACATTTGTGTAGGGGGTCTTAGCATTTGTGTGGGGGTGGTAGTGTGTGTGTGTAGGGGGGTTGTTAGCACATGCATATGTGTGTGTGTGGGGGGTGTTAGCATGTGTGTGTGTGTGGGTGTTAGCGTGTGTGTGTGTAGGGGGTGTTAGTGTGTGTGTGGGGGGGTGGTGGTGTTAGCGTGTGTTTAAGGGTGCTAGAATGTGTGTGGGGGTGGTGGTGTTAGCGTGTCTTTTGTGGGGGTGTTAGCTTGTCCGTGTGGGGATGTTAGTGTGTGTGGAAGGGAAGGGGTTAGCATAAGCATGTCAGGTGTTTTTGTGTCTTCCAAAGTGTGCAGATGAGCATCCAAATGGAAATAAGTACTTTGGTCTGACGTTTTTGGGTTATTCTAGGTAATTTAACCCTTTGACTGTCGCAACCCCAAATCCTGAAGTGTCTCTTGGTGTCGATAAATTTTTGGAAAAAAAAAAATATTATTTTTTCTTACGAAATGATAGAGAATCTTTTCCCGATGGTAATGACACCAAAAGTATGAAACTTGATCGAAAACATACGGAATTACGCTCTCGTGAAGTTAGCAATCTCGGCAATATATATATACATCGGCGATTTTGTCGACTTGAGCCCTATTTTCGGCCAATTCCATTGTTCCAGTCGATCAAACTCATAGCTATTTCTTTAGAACTCCATTTTTCGTATCAATTGAGTACAAGCAACTGCCCATTTACCGATTTCAACTACCCAAGAAAATGGTCATAAATTGGCAATTTAGCCAATTTCATGCAAAGTAAAAAAGATGCCAAATTCAAAATAGGGTCCAGAATAAACGGTAGAGACATTCTTGGCACTAAAATAACATATCCTCTGTTCATTAGTCACATCTCCAGGCCCCTTTTATATTACTCTTGCTTTCTATTTTGATTTTTATTCACACAAAAAAATAGAAGATTTACTGTTATGCAGACAACTCCATTATTGTAAAAATGGTATAAATAATATCAGTGCACTAAGGAAAGAATATTAGACTCCCTGGCTGATGTATATTGGACATGTGGTGTGATTTGCTTACTCTTGAACATTGGTATAACTTCGAACATTTCCGCTACTTTGAGCTCAATTTCAAGGTTGTTTTCATCGTGAAACTAATCAAAATCATCTCTATTTCTGTCATATGTTTTCCATTCTATCAAATGAGACCAAGAAAATGAGAATACAACCATAAATACTATAGGAAAATACACCTCAAAGTCGGCATTTTAATACAAAATTACAATCAGAGTTTTTTTCCTCTCATTATGCACTGTGTGCTGCAGGATTTTTTTTGTACAGTGCACACTGACCACACAGACTCATTCTCTCACATGTGATCCTACCAGCTTTCTCCTGCTCGATTCGAAGCCGCTAGACTTATTGAGTGTATATATGTCTGAAACACTGGCTCATAAGATGTATATATATGGCCTAAACAGTCAAAGGGTTAAACTATGTATAATAATTGTACTTATTTGTACTTGTTCATAAATAAGTTTACATAATGAGATTCAAATACGTATCTCACCAAACTGCAGGATTCCCACCCATTCAAGATAGTAAATTGCTAGACAGCAACTAAAAAGGAATGATACTATCATCCTGACACATGAGTCTGAAACAAAAGCCTGTTAAATGTTTTGCACTCTGCCTGAACTGCCATTCTTTTCTTTCAGTCTCATAAGAACATAAGAATGGAGGAACACTGCAGAAGGCCTACTGGCCCATACAAGGCAGGTCCTTATCAAAACCACCCCTACCCAAAGCTACCCAAGAATTTACTGCCATACCCACAACACCAATCAAACCCAGCCCCTCCCACTCATATATTTTTCCGATCTCTTCTTAAAGCTACCCAGGGCCCTAGCCTCGATTACCCTACTCGGAGGATTGGTCTATGCATCAACCACTCTGTT